TATATATACACACACACACACTGTATATACTGTATAAGAAAAAATGACTTTAGAGCTACGTTTGTTAACATCCCATCAGATTTTAATTTATGAATACATTATCAAAAGAAATCTTTCATAAAAACCACATAGAACAGAATATAACACTTCTAAATGCATAAAAAGATATGTAAAATGTGTGAACTGTGACAGCCCTAATTAACAGACATATCTATTTGAGTCGGTCTAATATAAAGAATACACTGAACTCACCGGGTTGTCGATGTAGAGAACCGAGTACCGTGATGTCCAGGGGAAATCTCTATAACCCACTGCAGAAAGACAGTAAAGGGTCAGACCATTTCACTTTTAAGAAGGAAATTGAATATATTGAAATCAGAAGTGATGAAGAACATGGTTTCTTAACTAAAGTGCCCCTATAATGTTTTTTTTTGTTATAGAACATTTCATCTAGTGTGTTATATAGCGGTTTGTGAATGTAAAAGGTCTGCAAAGTATCAAAGGTCAAACAGCAATGAGTTAATGGAGTCTCCTAAAAGAAAGAACTGATTCTGAACTGCCTGAAATGAGTCGTCAGCAATTGCAGCCTTACTCCTTTGTAACACATTTGCATGCAAGCTATGGTCTGGAATTAAAAACATTATTACAAGCTTACCGCTTTGAATCGAGCTAAGGCAAGTAGATAGTTTTGGACACTGGCTGGTTATGAATTTTCTATATGTAATATGCATTTTGGATCATTTTTAACTCAAAAAAAGGTATGCAGCTTTAAGCAAAACAGTTCTTTATGGCCTGAGAACATATATAATTGAATGTGCATAAGACAGAGACAACACGCCATTAACCTCCAACATATTGGAACAAAACAGATATGTTTGTACTCACATGTGAGGTTCTTATGTACAAAATATGGGCCATGCTCCACAAACAAGCCGAACATAGAGGTGCCTCCAGGTCCTCCCTGCAGCCACAGGAGCACTGGAGCCGTCTCTGGTCTCTCCTAAACAGAGAAGAACATGCAGCAATACATGAGCGTGCAGTTAGGCAACATCACTCGAAATTAGAAAGATTCTGCGGACTGTGTAATTCGTTGTGAACGACCCCTGAAAGCAAAGCACCTGACTCGAGTGATGCCAACAGTCAGCAGATCTGTCTTATCTTTAGTACTGTTCGTATGCAGTGTAACAAAACTAAGAGTATAACATTATATTACCTGGGCAGGAAAGAACCAGAAGAAAAGGTTACTGTTGTAGGTCTTGTTCACAGTGAGATATCCTGAATAACTCTTGACATTGGCACCAGGAAGGGGTCCCACCAAACTAAGTTTTTTGGCTGAATATACACAAAACATAAATGAATTCATATTAGCATACAGGTCAGAAAAAAACAGGTCAGTGAATTGAGATAGCAGTTTTTAAGTCACCATGATATATATCAAACTAGAGATTATTTATAAAAAAAATAAATAAATATGAAAGATTTGCCCTCATAATCCACCACATTTTTTATTCTTGTTTGTTTCTTGCCCTTTCACTCAAATGTGTCACAATATGGAAGAAAAGACTAAATCACAACTTTGGTTGGTTTCATGACTAAAAAAAAAACATTTTTTCTCATTTTTCCCTGTTATGATAAACTTTCTAACATTCTGTTTAGCATATGGTGAATGAACATACACGAGGAATTGAAACAATTCCATGTAAACAACAAACATACCTTCTTCTATCTTGCCTTGCTCCAGGTAGGGGGTGAGCATCAGAGGTTTGCCCGGGTCAACTCCAAAATGTGACCCGCTCACACGGCGTGATTTGCGGCAGAAGAATGAGGAGCATCCGCGGGAGCAAACAGACTCCAGCACTGCCCAGAGGAACAGCAGCCTCAGCGTTTGCTTCAGCATTATAGAAATTGAAGTTTAACCGCAGACAGGCAGCACTGAAATATGACACGGGGAGCAATGATCAAGCATGATATTAAAAGATTCATATTACCTGCTACCTGTCTTTACATGTCTAAACACATCAGACCAGAGAAACAAATCCAGATCTCCAGTCAGATCAACTTACAAATGCGACACGAGTTACATATACGAACATAACAGAAAATGTGCAGCAGAAACTGTAAATGTGATAGGCTGTTAATAAATCATAGCTATTCAAATACATCTATTCCTCATCATCAATAATAATAGCTACCTTGAATCCAAATGGCAGTCAGAAATTCAGAAACAGTTAAGTTAGCATCGGCATGAATCTGAACTGTAGTAAGAGATCAGGTTGTTGTCACATGACTAAATGGGCGCTGTGTCATGTGATCGCAGGAACTTCAGTCGAGAACAGTGACCCCTAGAGGACCATTTGAGAGAAGCAGTCCCCAACACATGCAGTATACCAACTTTCCCTAAATATTCCCAAGTCTCACAAGTTAATATTTCTCAGGGTTGCTTTATTTTTAAAAGTCCTTTTCTGACCGCAAAAATTCACTGAACATGTCTACTGCTATACAACACAAGTTGAACTTTTCCTCAAAAAACAGAGTGTGTTGTTGTCACACTATTGTTAGAATGGAACCTGTCATTAAAATGTCTATTATGGACTTCTGAGGGGAATCTAACCAAGTAAAAAAAAAAAAAAAAAAAAAAAAAAACATTGTAAACCATTATGACGCAAAAACAATTCATTAAACAGAAAAAAATACATGTTTTGACCATTTTGTCGGCCAAAATAAATACATTTATTCACAACATTTCAAAATACAATAAAAACTTGACATTTATGAAAAAGCACCCTTAACAAGTCACTGCTCACCTGAGAAGCATTTAATCCTAACCTTTGATGAGCCGAGGCCTAACTTTATAATGTCACAGCAAATATGAGAGACAAAGGGTGATTCTGGCCTGTCTGTCTTGACATTGTCGACTGTATCAAACAATTAAAATCATGCAACAATGTCATACGTTTAGGCCGATACATTGTGGTAAATATTGGAGTAATTCATTTTAAATATTAAATAATTGTAATGGCCAATTGTTACTGCATGATTTCTCCCCACTATTTAAATGTAAGATTCCTTAAAATTGCGACACCCAAGAAATAACATGATTTGGGCCCCTTCTAGAGTATAGCAAGTAAATTATGCATTTTTGACTGCATTCATCAAACTATCACATTTTGAAGGTTATTGCTAGAGAACCACACAATGAGGGGTTTAAACTGTATTTATATACACTAATGGCAAACCTCATAGAAAATGAGTATCAAAAAGCAGCTTGTGTAATGCATAGTTTGACCTCTTGAGAATGAAAATCAACATTTGCTGAAGGTGACAATTTGTTGAGACATAAAAAGTGTAATTTCTTTTCTGGACCTACTCCCATATTCGTGGAAAGTGCTACTTGCTTTTCAAATGGATGTGACAAAATTACATGTCATTTGATGTGTCATTTGATGTGCAGGCATTTGATGTGTTAAAAATGAGTTACTTTTCATGCTAGGTTAAAGGGGATCTGCAAAATTCATTTTTACATGTCGTTTGTCGGCAGTGAGTGTACACAACCATATAATGGCAAAAATCCACCCACTCTTTTTTGAATCCACGTATGTGTGCGTGACAGCGATAGAGATGATAATCAAAACCAAATAGAGGTTTTGCTAGTAGTTTTTGGCAGAAAGAATATTCCGAGGCACGAGCTGTAAGGCTCCATCCTTTCCTGGAAATGTGGGTGGGACCAGCAGCAGCTCATTTGGATTTAAAGATGCATGTACGAAAAAAAAAAAAAAATTATGTTTTACCTTCCCTTCAAAAATGGTCATTTACAACATTGTATAATTAATGATCTGTGGGGATTGAGCTGAAACTTAACAAACATATTCTGGTTACATCTGAGTCTTACAGCCAACCCGATCTCAAGAGAATTCGTACGAATTTTAGCCACGAGGTGGCTAATTCGTAACAATTCATACGACCTCACTCATACGAATTAGAACGTTGTTGCTAAATCGTACATATTTTACGAATTGGCCAATTCGTATGAATTCGTACGAATGACCTACCCCTGACCCCGCCTCTAAACCTACCCATCACGTGGGTTTGGACAAATCTTACGAATTCGTACGAGTGAGGTCGTATGAATTAGTACGAATGAGCCACTTTTTAATCACTCATACGAATTCGTACGAACTGGTCGTGAGATAGCGTAGTTACAGCTCAAGTCCTTTTCACAGAGCACGTTGATCCCGGGAAATTGCCAGAACGCCTTCTGTGTGAACGCAAACACGACCCAGGAATGATACCGGCATCGATGCGGGTTGGGGACCTAGTAACATTGCCGGAATCAGTCCCGGAACGCGCGCTGTGTGAACAAAAGCCAGGACCAATGCCGTAAGGGGAGCCATCACACGACTCTGTTGCTCTGGAGCGAACTGGAACAAAGCAGAGACCAGGAGCTCCTCACTATCCGCGCTGATGCTGAGATCGTTCACCAGCTTTCTGGAACGGTATGCGCATGTACATGTTTTCGACGCATACGTTACACGTCTCATCCTGACGTCATGTGTCTTTCCAGGATCTTTACGGGTTGTGTGTCAACCGAATGAACCGAAATCAATCCCAGGACAAATGCCGGGTCACATTATCCATGTATTTTCCGGAATCTCTGTGTGTGAAAGGGGCTTTATAGAAACTGACATGGGTCCCATTTAACTTTATGTTAGTATATCAAGCACATCTAGGGTTTAGCATCTAATGCTTTTTTTAAGTAGCCTATCTGTCTCATGATTAGCCTACCCTGTGTATTAGTATTAGTGTTAGTGTAATGCCAAATTACAGGAAAGCAATATGAGTTTTGTACATGTAATAATTTCTGAACTGCACTAAGAATGCAACTTTCTTATATGGCCACACAGCACACAGTCGAGAGGCATGTAACTATCACAGCATGGTCAGGTAGACAGGAGGAATGCGCGCGCTCTAGTGACGCGCGTCTCTTCCACTTTAAGAAGGCGGATTCGCAGTTGCACACCCTGTGTGTTTATTACGAGCCTTGAAGTGGCACATGGAAGCGATACAGTAAAATATGGGGAAACCTACTGGCTTTGACAGCACACGCACCGGTTTGGAAGTTTTTTTGAATTCTGCATTTCATTACAATGACGTGTAGATGAGTTGTCATATTTAGTATATCAACTAGTTCCACATGGTTCTTCTTCTGCCACACACGCGCCTGTAAATGCGGCAGCGTTGGCGACTCCCGTCTGATCCGACTCTCACAGCTGGATATTTTCGGCTGTTTAGGAGGAACTCTGGAGAGCTGAAGACAGGTCAGGAGAGCAGAGACTGAGATGGAAGAGCTGTCAAGCCCAAACAGACGCCAGTAAGCTTGTGGATTCAGTGATTTACACGCGATGGCAGCGTCTAGTAACTCCAGTCTGTCGGGTTCCTCCGTCTCTTCGGGTGAGTACTAATGAAACGAAATGAAACATGGGTATTTTGTTTGGGAATCTGAAGAAGCACTTGACGTGATTATGGCAGAAAGGATATGATTGGCAGTTTCATTTTTGTGGTTTCGGATGGATTTAAAGCAGACAGGATAGAACATGGTGAAAAGGTGTGTCAAACTGTAGCTATACCTTTTCTTCATCCAGGACGAACTAGACCCACCTTTGACTTCCTTCACCAATGTAAGCATGCAGTTTTTAATACCAACCAATGCACGGTGGCAGAGGGTTGTGTAATGTCACACTCACAGTGCACGAGTTTTACAGGCCACCTCTATCTGATAATATGGCATATGACTCGATATCACGATAACTATGGTTGGAGGTTAAAAAATAAAAATCTGCTGAATTATATAATATAATTATATTATATAATAATAAATAATATCCTATTTTTTAATCCTCAGTGAAAAAACATTGGCTATGCACAGATTTTATAGAATTAAATCATTTTGTCTTCTCTCTAATATATCAATATTACCACACACTCTTTATTGTTACCAGAAATTTACTGTTATTAATGGTTCCACAAATAGGCTTTAATATCCATTGCACAAATGGATAAAATGTGATCACACTAAAAACTGGTTCATTTCGAGGAGCCCAAAATGGTTCTTCTATGGCATCGCTGCGAAATAACCTTTATTTTTAAGTCTGTTGTTCCCCATAACAATTCCATGAATAATAAAACTTTTATCATCTCATATTTTGTGAGGTTTACTATTAAATCTTAAATAATCAGCCCTTTTACCTTGATTATACATTAAAGAACATATTATCGAAACCTGGATATTTGTGGAAATATCAGCGTAGGCCTATTGTGGAAATAGTGTCATGACCTTGTCAATGATTCACCCGTGCATTCGTTTCATTTTTGTAATCAAAACAACACGCTCTTTCATTTAAATGACATGTTTAATCTTTAAGTTTGCATAAATACCCTGCCCCTTTCTTTCAGTCGACTGCAATCTCACATTCAGATCTTCAGTGTCAATTATTGATATCCCAAGTATATATCACTACAGGAACGCCTCTCAGAAAATGATCTAAACTTTAAAAACTGGAAAGTTTGGATTTTGTCAGTCCATTTCAAAATGTTGTAACGTGGGAACCAAAAACTGGTTTGGACACATCCAGGACAAATGCACTTCCCGCCCATTGTCTGTTAACTAATGAACCTGATTGTAAAGTGTTACCCATTTAGCCTACCCTAAATCCCAACATTTCAGATTTTTTTTTCCATCTAAAATGAGTCATCAAATGTTTTCATGGGCGTGTGATGAAAACGAATTACCCTAAAAGCTGTTCCTCTCTCCGAATTATGCACTTGAAAGATTTTCTATTACCCTGATCTTATTATCTGCAAGAAATTATTGATGTTGAAAATTAGCTTTTAAAATTACCTGTCATCTTCCTAGTTGAGTGTCATGGTGATTGAACTACATTATCTCAAGTTTGATTGCCAAGATATTAACTTCCACCTACAATTACCTGTTAATTTTCAAAACTTTTGCCATATTTTCACACATGCATCTTCCAAACTGCATCTTTTGCCAACAATACATTTAAATCTACACCCATGTACACTACTGTTCAAATGTATGCGGTTGGTAAGATGTTTTCTGCCTTTATTTGATGAAAAATACATTATAGTTTGAATATTATATGTGATGGCAAAGCTGAATTTTTAGTATCATTATACCAGTCTTCAGAGTCACATGATCCTTCAGAAATCATTCAAATATGCTGATTTGCTGCTCAAGAAACATTTACTATTATTATCAATGTTGAGTATTTTGATCAATCTATTGTGTCTTTGCTAAATAAAATGATTTATTTCTTAAAGCTACACCGTGTAACTCTTTTAGTTTACTCTTAGCTAAAAACACTTTCAAAAATATATGTGCTCATTAATGTATATTTACTTCGTTCAAGTAATAAAGTATTCTCGTGAGTGTATAATATGCCATTGAAAATACATACAGGTAAGAGGTTTTAATGTCGATCGCCATGTTGCCCCTCCATCTTGAAAGTACATTAGCCAAAGAGGGACATACCCGTTAATTCAAGCTTCGCCTTTCGCGTTTACGTTTTGGACGAGGTCGAACTGGAAGCCATGTTAATCTTGGACTAAATTGGCCACCGTAGGAGTTAAAACGAAATCGGAATTGAGAGGAACACAAACTAATATTCACTGGATGTTCATATACCTTTTCACCACTAGATGGGGGTAAAAATCACACAGTGTAGCTTTAAGAAGAAAAAAATCACACTGACCCCAAACTTGATGTAGTATTCACATTTTGTGAGGTTAGATGAGAAACGCACATTGGTTGGAAGGAACGGAAACCACCATCCATAAATCCATAATTCCCTGTAAGACACAAAACACAGTAAATGTCTAGCATGAGGTTGGCCGGAGGTGTGAGAAGCGCAAACAGGTTTGCAGGTGTTTAAATAAACCGATCACAAGAGTGAGATAAGGTTGGAAGCGCACTCAGAATCACTCCCACATATTAACACCCTGTTCTCAAGCTGCTTGGCATTGCGTTTGTAACAACAGAAGGAGGGATGTGTATGATCTGAGGAACAGTTCCACGTCTCAAGGGAGTGCAAGTTCAAATAACAAGCTTTGTTAAATGGGCGTGTAAAGAAGAAGGCACTCATTTCATTGAAGCTCAATAGAGAGAAAGAGAGGGTTTGCCTCGTTCAATTTCGTGCTCGCTGTAACTCTTCATCTAGAGGCGCAGAACCGCAATTCCTCCCCCACGCCAAGCCACGGGCTCTTGAGATCCAGTAAAGGGATCAAGCCAAGCCATGACTCTCCGTGGTCGCCATCCATTCCCAGATTATCTCACATGCGTGTTGCTGAAGAAGCAGAACTGCACTGTGGCTGCGAGGCCTGGAGAAGGCGGAGGAACTTTTTGTGCCTGCGGTACGGAGAGCTGTCATTAGCTCCGTGCCCCCGGTGTAATCATCGGATGCTGAATACCAGGCTCGCCGTGTCTGTCACGGGAGTATCATTATGTTGAAAAAACACTTTTTTTGGCTGAAAACTCGTTTCGTCTAGTTTGTGCGTGTGCAATGCGCACACGTTCTGCTTTATATTAGCCAAGGACAGGGCTGTAAACAAATGCAGGGCAGATTGAGATGGCGCTCTGCTCAGCTCTTCTGACTTCAAAGGCCAGTTTGAGCTTTTGATGTTCCCCTAAAGGAAAACTGGGACTGCAGCTCAGAACTGCAAGCTTGTGAGCGATGTTGAAATTATGGGTGATTTCATGGGTTTTTGCGCTGATTTGATTGCTTCTAATCTGAAGGGGTTGTGTTGATTTAAGCCTGGGGAACGTGACCAGAAGGTTGCTGGATTAATCCCAGTAACTGTCCACTGTACCCTTAAGCGAGACATTTAACCCCAGGTTGCTCTAGACGGATTGTCTTGATAATAAGTGCAATTCAGTAAGTCGCTTTGGATGAGACTTTGGATAAAATAACCTGCTAAGTGACTACTTGCATAATTATCAATCTGCATGTGTGTAAAGTAGTTGTTAAGTTTAGGTATTTGGTTGGATTAGGGGATGCAGAATAAGGCATTAATATGTGCTTCATAAGTACTTATAAACAGCCAATATCCTAGTAATATGCATGCTATAAGCAGCTATTTAAAAGTGCATTTCACCCATTTCAACATTTATCTTTATTGAAAGTGGATCATATATGTAGAATTTTTGAATTTGGTGCCCTCTTGACCGAGAAAAGACAGAAAATAACCGAGGGGCGCATTTGTATGTAAGACACCAACTCCCACAATGCACCACATTGCACAGCTCTGCAAGCCACACCCACTAATCCGGAACAGCACAAACAGAGAAATCACTCTTCCTCCGTCTACAAGGCTAACGTTAGCTGTCACTGCTGGCTTATACTTTCGTTTTGTATTTGTCCATTTTACTATTAAAATGTTTAAATGTTCGCCAGTTCCCGCCTCCTTCTTCCCACAACAACAAACCCTGTTAACGTTACATTGGCAAACTCATTAATGAATTACTCCTCGTTTGTATTTGTTTCTATATGGTGAACTATTGCATGATACCTGGATGTTCAGTCAGGCGAAACTAGGATGGTTCACTTCACAACACAAACGTCCGTGTGCTCGTCTGATTTAGAGATTTTGTTCAGGAGAAATTGCCATTGTTGAAATTCTCTGCAGCAGACGGACTCTATCTGTGTCCGTAGCACGCAGCGAGAGCACGGGCACCAGCAGTCCGCCTCAGCTCGAGCCAATCCGGGCTTCTCAACCGACAGGCAGCCGCCTCCTGTTCCTCTATCAGCCTCAGCTGTCCTTCACTATACTGTGGCTCGTAAAGATAGCCACGAATATCAGATTCAAGCAGCAGAATTTCAAAATTATTTTTACTATTTATATATTTTTACTATATTTATTTTTTTACTATATATATATTTACTATTTGCTTATTAGCATGCATATTACTAGGATGTTGGTTGATTATTAGTACTTATAAAGCACATATTAATGCACTTATTCTGCATGAACATATTCTACATCACCTAATCCACAATATCCAAATTTAACAACTACAGTACCTTACTATCTATTAATAAGCATTAGTAAATAAATAAATGAAAACAGCATTTATTTGAAATAGAAAACGTTTGCAACATTATAAACTTATAACTTAACTTTCACTTTTGATTAATAAAATCTGTCCTTTAATGTTGGTTGCACTGAATGAGTTTGATTTGGTAAACAAAACATTTAAAAACATTTTTATAATATTTTAAATATGAAAATGATTAATTTTGAAATTTAAAACATGGTCATCTTATAAGAGATGCATTCAAGACATTGTATATACGTTTGAATAAATTAGTAGATTTAGACCATAGTAGATTTGTATGTCATTGATCTAAAAATGGTCCTTTTTGACTGCTAGTCTG